TATAGTAACAATTTCCATGAAATAGAGACACCATATGTCTAAACAGAGCCAACCAGTGTCTCTTCTTCCTCTTCTTCTCCCTCTTCCTTTCTTCTTTTTCTGCCTCTTCTTCTTCTTTATGCTACCATTTTGTATGTCCCACAAGTATGTCCCACAACTACAACTGTTATTCTGTAAGAATTTTCAATCATTTCATTATTTTAAACAACCTATGAAAACAAGAGAAGGAGTGTGGATTTATAAATATAAAATACCAATCTTTACATCTATAAGACAGTAACAGCATTAAGTAAAAGTCATTTTAAAGAAAAACAAGGCTGTATAGATGAGGATGGGCCCAGGGCATTGACAAGGTGTGAACATTTGGCACCTTTCCCCCTGGTGACATTGTTACATGAAACTCAATGTTGTACATCACAGTTCTTTCTCTTTGTATGAGTGAGCATCAACTGTTCCCTATGCTAAGACAATTATTGAGGGATGATGGTTTTCAAATAATTCCAGAAATGGAGATAAATGTAAAGATAGACAAATTTGGGAATTTCTAGGAGCTTGATGCATGAGAGGGAAATAGAGAAAGAGAAAGCAGACACATCCAGGGTTAATGAATAACTGAAGTTGATGTAATTTGCAGAGCTGTAATCAGAAAAGAAAAGAGTGAGGAAGATTTGATGTGTCTTCAATATTTAAGGCTATTTTAAAATTAGTATGGTCTTTGGTTTCTCTTTTGCTGACTCGACCCCTTCAGGGAGACATAGCAGTCTTTTCTTGTGGTGTAAACCTTGGCTCCTTTCTCTGATTTTTTTCAATTGTCCATGAAGTGAGGCAAGAATCATGCAGTGTGGTTTCAAGAATGACTGCAGGGAAAGTCCTCCAAGCTGGAAACCAAAGCCTTCTCCTTCTCATTTGTATAATGCAAGACAACATAGCCCTCTATAAGCCCAAGAAATACACCCACTATTTTCCATTTTTTTCTTGGATGCAGCCCCAAATAAGGAATCCCCCGACTGGTAGTAAAGTCAGTGAAAGAGTATGGAGTACAGCTGAATATATCAGAATCATGTTGTTTGTTAAGAAAGAAAAAATACTTCTATTTCTGCTTTTCTCTATATAATACATTTTTAATTAGGCATTGGACCAGCAGGCACAAAGTACTTCCATTTCCTCCACACTTATATTAAATTGTCTCAAATTATCATGTTGATTAAATGAAGCCAATAAGAGGGTAAAGATAACAGGAAACACAAGAGCCAGTGAGAAAACATTCAGAAGACCACTGTCTATTCTTCAGTGAGTGGATGCAAGCTATGAGCTATTCTACAGTGAAGTAAGGCCCCAAGGATGTGGAAATGACACACCACACAGCCCCAAAGATGTTAGAGATCTGGCATGTCTTTGTAGCTCACCCGTGTCACCTTAGGTAGGGCAGACACTCTATCTCAGGTATTCTCCTTACCTGCAAAATGAAGATAAAGATAAAACCTTCTCTGCCTCCTGCCTGGATTTCTGTGAGATACAAATGTAACAGTACATAAGAAGCAGTTTTATACCATTCACTGGGCTTCAAACAGTGATAACCCCTCCTCTCTGTGTCTAATAGCAAAGGGATTTATGTTTATGTAATTCACAGACTTAAAAAAACAACCATTACTAAGTTCAGCCTTTTTATCCATTTAATAAACAACCTGAGTTTTGTTCTGCTAGCAACATGAATAGGATTTTACTTCTGTGCTTTGCTAGCGTTCTTGGGACTTTTGTGGATAGGCTAATTAGTTGAGAAACTGAAGAAGATGAGGAAGAGAATTTAAAAAAATGATTTGAAAAGTTAATTAAGTTAATGGCTGGAGCCCAACAAGATCTATTAGTGTTTGGAAAATAGGTTAATACAGGTTTAATACTTTATCATCATGATGCAGGTTTGCATACATGCATCAAGAATACATGTGTTAACTTAATGTTCATCTCAAATATATATATTTTAATTGTGACACTGGAGAATATATGATTTAAACACACACACACACTCATACACAGTTGTTTTGTAGCCCTTTGAATTGTTATCTTTCAGGAACTGTACTAAGGAAACAACTGATACTATCCTGATTCCCTGAATCTATTGCTAAGGGAAGCAAGTTCAGAGCACTGCATCTTATCACAGCCTTTGGGTTCAGTACTATCAAATAATTGACTCAGCCAGGCAATAAAAAAAAAACTGATTTTCAAAGATACTTACTTTATAGTTTGAAGTTTTGCTCTAACCACTCAGTATAGAAAACTGATATTATGTTCTCTTGCTTTGCCTGCCTTTGAAAATAAACCCCAATGATGCAGGTCAAGAGAATCCTGCTTTTTAAAAGGACAACAAATGAGCAAGTACAGGCAAATCCCACCAAGAAGCAAATAATGTGAAATATAACTGGAGTCTGAATCAAATAAGACAGTGGATTAAAACCAACTTGAGGCTTTTAAAATTAGCCTTCTGCAGCTTGGGAACCCATTCTGCAAGGGTGTGTGTTGTGTTTAGGAGTTGGTTGTATGTGCCTGTTCACAAGCTTTGCATACAACACATATGGAAAAACCACTGTCAAAGGGTGTAAGAGAGAACTGTAGCCAAAAAAGGAGACAAAAGGATGCTAAAACAGAGACACTATTTAATTGATTCGATTGCAAGTCATTTTGTGGGTGACTGTGACCTCTGGTGTTAATCTAGGGGAATTCCAGCACTTGCTCGCCTTAATGGAGAAAGGAAGAAATCTAAGCAGGAAAGCGTCTCATTGGAAACCACTGATCTTTACTTGAAGTATTTTCTCTTTTTCCTCCCTCTCTCTTTTCCACTTGCAGACGTAAGAGCAAAACACTACCCACATGAAAAGTACTGTCTTTGCTGCTTTAATTGGTTCACATTGCTGTGTTTATCCTTATAATCCTATACAGCAGTGATTTTCAACCTTCCTAATGCTGTGACCCTTTAATAAAGTTCCTCATGTTGTAGTGAACCCCCATCATAAATTTATTTCTGTTCCTACCTCATAACTGTAATTTTGCTACCTGTTATGAATCACAAGGTAAATATCTCATGTTTTCTGATGGCCTTTTGGGGGTTGTGATCCCCAAAAGCTGAGAACCACTGCTATATAGGAACAAAGTCAGAGTAGTTACATTTTAAGTATTTGCATTTCAACTTAAAAAGTCTTCTACTTATTTTATTTTTAAAAGAAATATATTGATAACAAGGATATCTTAATCTGGTACCCATCATAATTAATGCAATTATTCAAGATGCCCAAGCATATTTCAGACTAAAGGTAAAGGAACTGCTGCATTTCTAAGCCCATGCTTCCATGATTCTATAGAGTTTCCAGTCATCCTTAGGAACAGGCATGTATTAGCAAGAAGTTGTTAACTGTAATCAGCTAACTCTAATGGAAACACAGTGAATGGCTCATTAACTTGCTCTCCATCTTTCTAGTCATAGTGACATTCTCATTATTATTTTATGAATTTTATGTTGGCTAGGCTGAAGTAGTGGGTCCCAATAATCCACTCCAAACCAAAGTGTGTGTGTGTGTGTGTGTGTGTGTGTATCGTGTACAAATATATCATATATATATATATATATATATATATATATATATATATATATATAATACACAGAGAAAGAGTGGTTCAATATGGTTCCCTTTGTGGTTTCTGAAGCCTGTGAGCTTTGACAGTGGTATTTAAGAAAGTCAGCTTAAGCAAGGGGATGCAGCTTTTGTTTTCCTTATGACATTTTAGTAAGTCTAGAATCCGATGTGTAATTTAAAATGAGTAACAGCCATTGTGATATTTGGAAAGAAGTCTATGGGATCTTTTCTAAATCTATGAGCAGGTGATGAACATATTAATTTTTGATATATTTCTTTGAAGCATATAGAGCTAAAGATGAGTCAGACATTTCACTCAATCATCAGCAAAGAGCTATAAAAAGAGGTCTGTATAGCTTGTCGTTAAGTGCACTAATAGATACTGGGTGGATTTTATTCTTGAATTAATTTTTTTCAGACTAAAAGATGAATAACTTGGAAGCTTTCATTTTAAATGTAATGTACTCATGTACATGTGTTGCCATACCCAGCTCTTTTTTGTTTGACAGTACTCTCATGTAGGCTAGCCTGGCTTCAAATCCACTATGTCTATGATGATGGCCTTGAACTCCATCTCCCAAGTGTAGAATCTCAGGCATGGAAGACCACGCCCTTCTTTCTCTGAACTTACTTTTTTTTTTTGTAATAATGCCCCTCACATGGGCATTTGTGCATTATCAGCTGCCCTAAAAATTCAACATATGTCTTCATTCTAAATACTATTTGTTCCTATTTTGGAGATACCAAAAGAAAATCACAATAGATAATAAAAATGTCTTTGATTTTTATCCACTAAAATTTAGCTTTCAACCAGAGCCACTGAGAAATTCGAGCCCCGATCTTTCATTCTCTTCTATCAAGGACTATGGCAAATTTTAGGGCTAAACGCAATTCCCTTTTTCCTTCTTTTTACTTGTGTGCACGAAAATTTTTAAATTGCTTAACACACTTGCAAGGAATATCCAGAAATAAATTATTCACTCAATGGCACGGAACACAAACACACACACACACACACAAGCAGATACCAGGTAAGCAACTTTAGGGCAGCTGCTGACTAGAATATCACGAAATTGGATCCAGCTGAGAATTCCAATTACCTAATGAGAGAGATCTGCTTTCGCTTTAATTTCTTGGTCTAATCTGTTAGACAGTAATCTTCATCATAAAAAAACACTGAAATCACAATTTAAAATGTAAATATTTAACTGGTCAATTTCACCCTTTTTCCCCCTTTGGGAAGACGGGAATCTCCATCCCCAAGGAAATCCAAATATAAGACTGAATAATGGAGTATTAATCAAGAGCCCTCAAAGAGACCTCCTACCGTTTTGTTTGTGTATAGCTCAATAAGGACACACTATGGCAAAATTCTAAGTGTAATTTTTAGTGGTTTATTAAAGAGCGATTAAATCATTACAGCTAAGTTTTAAAACCCTGTCCAAGGGCAGCGATTATTCAGTCGAGTCATCGCCACGGTATTAATTGGCTGTCAGATGACTACCGGCATCAGTCAACCTGCACCAGGCCCCTCGCCCAGCCACTGCAGTCTGGTCTTGACAAGGATGCTTGGCGTCTGCGCAATAGTGACCCGCCTTTGCTTTGTGTCTGTACTGCAGGTCTGGAGGAAGAGAAAAAACAGAGAAGCCCGCGGTCTGCGGTGGCTAAGCAGCCCCCAGACCCTGGAACAAGAATCGTCTACATCGCCAAAGTAGCCCTCGGACCTACCCACTCAGGCTGCTGGACCGCCTGAGCGTCAGAGCCCCGGACCTGGCGGCCAGGGGCGCCAGCCCCTCATGTTCCGGAGAACGTGCAAATGTGAGCGGGCGCTCCCGGGGAAAGCCCTCCGCCCCCGCCAGGGGGACCCGGGAAGCCCGAGCGGGCTCCTCCCCGGACGCCGGGGATCCCCTCCTCCGGCCCCGCCCCCTCCTCCCCCTACCCGGGCGTCGCGAGGTTAACCCTATCTGCGCCGTAGCGCTCTCCAGTAGTAGCGACAGCGCCGCCAATCCCAATTCTGGGACTCTGGGAGCTAGGTGACAGGGACGGATCCCTGCTCTGGGTCAGATGTGATCCCTCCGAGGCCAAGCCGGGCATCCGGCGGTGGCTTTCTCCCAATGCTGATACATTCGCATAGGCAGTCGCCAAACTTTTTCTTTCCTTCTCCCCAAAGCCAGTGCCCCCGCAGTTACTTGGCTAGCAGCCTGCAGCCCACTCTCAGGACGATGGGGGAGAGGGAGTGGGGCGAGCAGGTGCTGCCTTGCAGCCCTACGAGGCTAGGGGGCGGGAGAGGAGCTCAGGTTTCTCACTGCCTTGGCGCCTGCCCCATGACAGGGGTGGCCAGACATGCTGCAGTGTCTCAGGCAGGTCATTCCGGCCAGCATGTTCTGCACCAGTCAAGGGCCCGCGGCCGTAGAGCGAGAGCTTCGGCTTTCTCTCTCCCACTCTGCAGTCCGCCGCTGTGCATGGGGTGGGGGGGCTCAGTCTTCCCAACCGTGGTACGGGATGCGCGCGATCCGCAGGTGGAATCCCTGCCCTCGAGTACCCTGACCCCGGCCGGAGCCGACCTGAGCCCCCAGGGGTTGTCATTCTGCAGGTTGCCCTCCCAACCCCTCTCACACACACATGCTCCCCTAAGCCGCGCGCTCCGCAAACTCAGTCTCGGTCCCTGCAGGTGATGTCATGCCCATTGTTTTGGTGCGCCCAACCAATCGGACTCGCCGCCTGGATTCTACCGGAGCCGGCATGGGCCCTTCCTCGCACCAGCAGCAGGAGTCCCCGCTCCCGACCATAACGCATTGCGCAGGGTGCACCACCGCCTGGTCTCCCTGCAGCTTTAACAGCTCTGACATGGAAACCCCATTGCAGTTCCAGCGCGGCTTCTTCCCGGAGCAGCCGCCACCACCGCCGCGCTCCTCACACCTGCATTGCCAGCAGCAGCAACAGAGCCAGGACAAGCCGTGCGCGCCCTTCGCGCCCCTCCCGCACCCTCACCACCACCCGCACCTCGCGCACCAGCAGCCGGGCAGCGGTGGCAGCAGCCCATGCCTCCGGTGCAACAGCTGCGCCTCCTCCGGTGCCCCGGCGGCGGGGGCGGGGGCGGGGGATAACCTGTCCCTGCTGCTCCGCACCTCATCGCCCGGCGGCGCCTTCCGGACCCGCACATCCTCGCCGCTGTCGGGCTCTTCGTGCTGTTGCTGCTGCTCGTCGCGCCGGGGCAGCCAGCTCAATGTGAGCGAGCTGACGCCGTCCAGCCATGCCAGTGCGCTCCGGCAGCAGTACGCGCAGCAGCCCGCGTCCGCCTCCCAGTACCACCAGTGCCACAGCCTGCAGCCCGCCGCCAGCCCCACAGGCAGCCTGGGCAGCTTGGGCTCCGGGCCCCCGCTCTCGCACCACCACCACCACCCGCACCCGGCGCACCACCAGCATCACCAACCCCAGGCGCGCCGCGAGAGCAACCCCTTCACCGAAATAGCCATGAGCAGCTGCAGGTACAACGGGGGCGTCATGCGTCCGCTCAGCAACTTGAGCTCGTCCCGCCGGAACCTGCACGAGATGGACTCCGAGGCTCAGCCCCTGCAGCCCCCCGCGTCCGTCGTAGGAGGAGGTGGTGGTTCGTCCTCCCCGTCTGCTGCCGCCGCCGCTGCCTCATCCTCAGCCCCGGAGATCGTGGTGTCTAAGCCGGAGCACAACAATTCTAACAACCTGGCGCTCTACGGAACTGGCGGCGGAGGCAGCACCGGAGGCGGCGGCGGCGGCAGCGGGCATGGCAGCAGCAGCGGCACCAAGTCCAGCAAAAAGAAGAACCAGAACATCGGCTACAAGCTGGGCCATCGGCGCGCCCTGTTTGAGAAGCGCAAGCGGCTCAGCGACTACGCGCTCATCTTTGGCATGTTCGGCATCGTGGTCATGGTCATTGAGACCGAGCTGTCATGGGGCGCCTACGACAAGGTACCGGCTTTAGCCCCTGAATACACTCCTGAAGAAGGAACTAGGTGGTTGGGATGGGCTCTGGCGGGAACCCCTTGCCTAAGAGGTCGCAAGCGTCTCCGGAATCTTCAGGCGTGCCTGCCGGAGAGCAGAAGCAGCTAGGACGCACACCCATAGTCAACTGGGCAACTCAGAGAGTTAAGTTTTCCCGGTGCTGAGTGTCCAGCGCATCCAGGCATGTTAATAAGTAGCTCCCGGAGTCGATGAGGGAAAGCAAGCATGTTCCTCTCCTGGTGCCCCTGTTTCAAGGCACCTTTCGACCTAAAGTACTTAAACTCCGGAGCAACTTCCTCTAGAGTTTAGCGAGTCAAGTAGCTTTCTTTCAGTTCTTGGTGGCGCGTAGCCCGCAGCCAACCCATGAGTCTTCCCTTGCTCCTGGCTCCTCTCACGGAGCATTATGGGCAAATAATCTGCATCCCAGAGCCAAGACAGATCGCCCCCCCTCCTGAATCCCCTTCCTTGAATTTAGGTCCACGTGCTTGGAACTGACTCTTATGGCCTGGAAAGTGATTGAAAGTGCTTCTTTCTTAAAGTGTTCCATCTAACTGTGTTGCAGGCGTCGCTGTATTCTTTAGCTCTGAAATGCCTTATCAGTCTCTCCACGATCATCCTGCTTGGTCTGATCATCGTGTACCACGCCAGGGAAATACAGGTAACACAGGCTCCTCCGCTGTTTTTATGAATAACCAAAAGTCATACAGACAGCATAGGGGAGAAGCAAGACAGCAGGGGCCTTTTCCGAGCAGCTGTGTCCTTGCTTGAGGTTACAGAAGACACACGCAGTGTTAGTTATCTCAGCACCTGACCTGTCCTTTCAGAAAGCTAAACAACAAACAAACAAGTCAACACAGTGTGTAAACAGGCACACCTTTCTGAGATATATTTGATAGGGTCTTCCAATTTTCCCCAGCTTCTTTAGGTTGATCCCCTTCACCAGACAAATGTTCTTAAAGGAATGATATGCACTATCCTGAATCTATGGCAACGTGTGTTCTTGTTTACCGCACCTTTTTAAAACTAGTAAATCATTAGAGGAGGAGGCCTTGCCAATCTGTATTGCCTATAATTATAATAAGAAAATTAGTTCACCGCTTCTGTCAACATGGGAAGAGCACCCTCCTTCTCGTCTAACACAGTTTACAACAGCTTGTTTAGTTAGTAAAGCCTATATAGCCACTAGTTTAGTCCGAGCATTTTACATATCACTTGAAAGTTAAGGCCAGTGCCCTTAGAGCTCTCTGAACAAGAAAATGTTTGTTTTCCTCTATTAGATTTGACTTCTGGTCTCATTAGTGGGTTTCTCTAGCCCACAGTCAGTTAAGTATTAAAGTCTGGGACTTTAGGTAACTAGAGTGTTCAAAATGAGATTGATATTTTCGAGCTTAGAATTTATAAGACTGTTTTTGAGCCATCATGAGTCATTGATGGGATGGGTTGGACTCTGAAATCTGTCGGCTTAGACTGTCTTTGGACAGGAAGTGTCGTATGGACTTGTGAGGCAGCTTACTATCAAGCTAACTTAAGTTATTTTCAAATTAGTAATTACTAAGTTCACAAAAAAGAGAGAAGAATTCAATTTTAATGACTGTCCAAACAGAATAAAGATAAAGCTAACTCCAAGAGGGGAGGGAAAAAGGACTTCATTTTGTTTCCTGGCATGTCGAAACTTTGAAAAATGTGTTTTTGAAGTGATGAATACTTCATGGAGATGGAGGGTGAAATGGGAGTATTTGGAGTGGGTAGTGATAGACTAAAGCACACATGGTAGAATTTTTAATATTAAGACAGAATATAGATTCTTTAGTGCAGTCCTCATGATAGTGGCATTTTGAGATTCTTCCAGAGGTCCTCTGTGCTACTCTACTGTGCTTTAAGCCAGAAGCGTGGAAGATACAAAATGATTCTTTGACTTAGTTTCTGGATGGAAGCAGTCAGTGGAAGTGAGTAGCCTTGCCAGATCAGGTTGGAAGGGGCCCAGCCTGAAAGCAGGCACTGCATTCCCAGCTTCCTTCAGTCTTCCTCCTGAGCCCAGCTGCTCACCAAGAGTCCTGCACCATTGAGAATACTTCATCTGGGCTTCCCCTCTGGACACAAGAATTCAGTTTATGAACAGGATTCAGCTCATAATGCTACTCTGAGATTTTATAGGTTCTTAAGCACAGTTTAGACTGTTTGGCATGGAGACCAGAGTGGTTTGGTTAAACCATGCTGGAATGAAGGAGGGAAAATGTCGATTATGCATCTTAAGCTTTCCAAGTGTTGGCTGGTCCTTCTGAACACTTATAGATAAACAAGCATCCATTGGGGTGGAGGGTTACTCGTGTTATCTTCAAGAGCAAAATATTTTTTTAAACACACAAACTTTTTAAGAATTTTAGAAAGGTTTTTTGACATAACTCAGGTGTGAGAGGAGCCACGCAGGATTACTTATGCCTCCACAGATTCTGATACGGTGTAAGAATCCCAGAAATGTACAGACACTAATAAACGCAAAATATTTTAAAATTATTTTATGCTTGAAATACTGCCCTCATTGGCTAATTTATAATTTTTGTTATGTTGATTAGACAGTATAACACAAGGAGGAAGGTGATAAGTGTTGGTCCTTTGGAGAATACACAGTGAATTTATTTACTCTTTATAACTCAAATGTCAAAAATGTTAGGTTTTATAGCTAGGCTTATTTATGATCTATTGCCAGCCCTTAACCTGCCACGTTTACTATGATAACTATAAAATGAGGCCTGGGTAATAATGTCTAGTTATTTTGGATACAGCTTTTACAAAAAAAAAATCATTATTTGATCAAGAGAAATTCCTCTCCCAATAGTCTTGTCTGCAATGCCTCTTTAAAGTTAAATAAAATGGGCCTCAGCAGGTAAGAGCACGTACTCCTCTTGCAGGCAACTGTGTCTGGTACCCAGCACTCACATCTGGTGGTGCACAGTTGCCTGCACTTTCGGGGACTCCTCTGGCCCCAGCACTCATAAGCGCATATCCACACAGACACACATAATTCAAAAATAAAAATTTAAAAAATGTCTTAAGTTCTTTTTAATGAAATGGGAAGTGACAAATACACATGGAAACTCTGAACCCTCAGTCAAGAAGAACCAGGAAGCGGCAGAAGCTTCTCATTTATCCAATGGACATAATACTTTAGCCTGAAGCGCAGAGAAACTGGGTGGGCATGGTTATGATCTTTATGGAAAATTAGTAGTTGTGTCTTTTTCGCATTATTCGTATCTCCATGGGATGTGCATTTCTTTCATATAATTGTTTAGGCTAATGGTCACTTCAGAATTTAAAGCATTCCAAATATATTATTGAAGAATTCCAAATATACTGATTTATCTCTGAGGTAAGGCAGCAAGTACAGGATCAATACTGGCATTTTGGAGCCTGTCCTTGACTGTGAGATATCAAGAATGAGAAGTTTTATTTTTTTACTTTTTGGCATATTAAGTATGACAATTGGAGAGTGACAGACAGGGTGAGTTACTGGTGCATGATGTCATTTTCCACCATGCTCAGGCAAAGTGTTCTAACTGAGGTCCCAACGTCTTGCCTGTGAGAATCCCTCCTTACCCAAGCCCAGGGAAGCCCTGACATTTTCACCGAGAACCTTGGAAAGCAAGGCTCAGTGTGACCTTTGAGAAAATGTTTATACACGATGTGGCAACATGAAATGGCTCAGGTGACTCATGGGTAGAAGTGCTTGGAATGAAACTGTGCAGTGGAGAGGTTTGAGAAGAACACTGCACCATAGTACATTTCAGCTTTTGGGGCGCCTTTCAGTACCACAGACAGCTCAAGGCATGGGCTTTGTATACCATTCTTTCACTAATTCCTTTCACTCACTCCTCACAACCGAAATTGAAATTACTGCTTTGTTTTTGGTTTTGGTTTTTGTTTTGTTTTGTTTTGTTTTGTTTTGTTTTTTGTCAGAATCCTTATATAGAATTCA